CTCCCAACTATATTACTGTACTGTATGGCAAAAAAAAAAAAAAATTCCCTGGAACCTAACCCCCCATTTACATTCATTCTTATGGAGAAATTGGATTTGCTTAACATCGTTTCACTTAAAGTCGCATTTTTCAGGAACATAACTACAACGATAAGTGAGGAGTTACTGTAGTTTATTTGTTTTGTCAGTGTGATTATGCAATCTTGGGGAAGACAGGAGGTAGGAGTAATTGATTATAAGAGCAAGATACACTGGTGCTCTTCTCCTCATTCCCTCCTCCACCCTATGATTCAGATCCTGTGTTGTTATCCTCACAGACTGCCACACTACATGGAACCACGTTGAGGTCAATGGGTCTCTGTGCTGGTGAGTGCTCTGTCCACAGGCAACCAGTTGCAGGACTACGGCTTAATTCTTTACACAATTGTTATGCATTCAGATTAAGCAAATATAGGTCCTCCTGATCCTGCAGACACTTATGCTTGTGCCTAAGTTATGTACTGCAAAGTCAAAGGGACTACTTGCAGCACATAAAGTTAAGTAAATATGAGAGTCTTTGCATGAGCATGGCCATAGATTAGATAGGACTCATTCTAATTGGACTTCATGAAAAGCTATGGCTGATTAACACAACAATGCAAATAACACTCAATCTGTTTTAACTACAATCTTCCAACGGATTGGTGTTTGATTTATAACTAAAAACAAACAGACCATTATAGCTATTTTCTGTATTAGCACAGTTTGAATTCCACTTATTTCAGTAACCATATTTGGGGGGTGATTAAAACAGCAATAAATGTGGCTTTTTAAAAGGTTGAGGCTTTCAAGTTAGGTTTTTCCTCCTTGTGCCTAGGGTGACCAGACGTCCTGATTTTATCGGGACTGTCCCAATATTTCCTTGTTTGTCCTGCATCCCAACCGATGTGCGGTCGGGACACTGGACAAACAAGGAAATGCTCCAGAGCCCAGAAGTGCTCGCGCCCCCCCCACCCCGTCCCGACTCCGCCCCCTCCTTCCCCCATTGGCTCCCTCCCCGAATCCCCGCCTCTTCCCCAGGCTCACCATTCCTCCTCCCTCCGCAAGCGCAGGAGGGAGGCCCCGGAGACACAGGGGAAGCGCGGGGCCAGGGTGAGTGAGAGTCCGGCCTGGCCCCGAGCAGGCAGGACTCAGTCGGGTGGTAGGGAGAGTAGGGGGGCGGCCCGCGGGGCCAGGCGGCAGCTGTTCTCCCCCCCGGGCAGCGGGACTCGGGAGCAGCCGCTGCTGCAGCTCCCACTGCCGCGGGCGGAGGAAGCGGCCGATGGCCAAGCTCGGCGGCTGCGGCTCTGGTGCCCGGGCCCGAACCCCCCGAGCCCGGGCCTGCTG